TCCCTTCTTGAAGGTCTTGTCGAGCTTGTCCAGAGCGGGTCCGTCCTTCTTCGGGTTACCAGTCAGCCCGTTGACGGTCTGCTTAGCACCCTTCTGCGCGTTCTCAACCTTGCCGAGTCCCTTGGTCAGAGCGGGGTCCTTGTTGCCGGCGATCTTCTGGTTCTTCTGGCGGTCCTTGGTGGCCTCATCGAGGGCGCTCTTGATGCCCTTCTCGTCCTTCTTCAAGCCCTTGGCATCGTTCTTCTTGACGTCATTCTGAGCCTTCTCGGTGGCCTTGATTTCCTTCTTGCCGGCGTTGATGTTGTCGTTGATGCCCTTGACGAGCTTCTTCTTATCAGAGGACTCCTTGGCAGTGGCTGGCTTGGCAGCGGGCTTGGCAGCGGGTGCCTTGGTTGTAGCCTTATTGTTGGCAGGGCTTGCCATGGGTACGGCGAGGGTGAGGCCGAGGAGGAAGAAGAGGAAAGCGAATGAGAAGCGCATTTTGGCGGTGAGTGAGTTTGTGTGTAGATAACGATAGTATTGAAAGTAGATTAAGTGAGAGTGTGTCCGAATCCAGTCGGATAAGAGAGTGTATTAGTAGAGAAAGAAGAGTAGTCAGATAGTGTTGTAGTGTGGATGAAAGGAGAGTGTAGATGTCGAGGCGAATCCATATTGTATTTATACTTGACGATTCCGCTGCAACTATACACAAAGTCCACGAAGCCACCCCGATGGAAAGTGCAACTTCACGATGTCGCCGACGGTGCAGAGTGAGAAGGTTTCGTAATTGAACTCTGTTTATCTTTTGGGGATGCCATGATGCGAACATGTCGTGTGAAGGACAACACGAGCCAACTCGAGGCACGCGATCAACGGCGTCACGCCATCCAAACCGGCGTAGGTATGGCTAGCCGAGTCATCTTGCTCATAGATCGACTCGTCCCGGGTTTCTGGATATTCTGCAAACTTAGTGGGGTGGCCCTTGCGGACGATTTCCTCCCATTATCAGATGAGGAAACTTTGCTGAGCAGCATAGCCAAAGAGACTTCGGACGATGGCACACTCAGTTGTTTTAGGATGAAACTGGAGGGCCTTTATCATTGGTGGTTAACATGCATATCTGGTTTAAGGCTCAGAACAAGGCTGGTTGCTTCAGGCATGATTCGTGGGGTAGAAATGTTCTCAGTCTGTCAAGTCGGGCTGCCGATGGGTCCCGAAATCCCCGAGGGCGTCGGAACGGGTCACCACCCAAGTGGGCGTACAATACGCAGAGAGCATGGGGAAACAGGAGAAGCATACATGTAAGGATAAACTTAGAATCGGTAGCGCGCGCGCACCCGACTGGATGCGAACCCGACCATGCTATCCCTGCTTGGGTGATCTTCTCGCCCAAGACGGATGGATTTGCCTTGGCACGGTGATCTTAGAACCTCATTCTTGGCTTGAAAAGCTTGTCGGTCTTGGGAGTTCATCTGTCACATCCTGGGCATCTGATCTCTGGTACCGGGCGTCTGGTGCCTCAGACGAGCATCACCTATCCCCTTTCGACGTGCTCTCACAACATGTAAACTTTAGCCGGATGTATCGTCCAGGGGAAATTTTGCCGTTTGGTTCCTTCGCATCGGTAACTGTTGTCTTGTTTCTCACCATCGGAGACTACTCTGCTGGCAGCTGCCCGCCCTGTCGTATCCTCCATTCGAAGCAAGTGCACTCCAAATATCCGCACAACTCTGATCTAGATACTACCGTATTCCATGATAACAGCAGCCGCTAATTCCGCTTCAAATAGTTTGCCGTCATCTAATCCATCATCAGCAAGCTTTCTCTCTTTTTGAACTCATTCAACTTGCGATGAACGCGCGTCCTTGAAGCTCATCGGAGACAGAACTCAATAAGAAGAGGGTGTTCAGAGATTCTCCCGCCGCCCTTTTGAGTCAAGTGCAGACGGCATCAATGCCCTCACAAGCGCGCGCACGACATGTACGCTGCTCGGACTCACCACGGCAGCAGCCTTCACGAATGCGACGGCGACCATGTTTCTTGCCATTTTACCGCTCTTCCCGCACGCCTCGGATACCTCCGGACGTCTCCAGCGGCCGGGAATGTTGGATATGAAACTCGGTGACCTGTGCTGCTCATGAGACACCGTGGAAGCTTGTTTAAAGTTTTCAACGGTCCGGGGTAGAACAAGCGAACTTCGCTTTTGGTCACGTTATGCGATTCCCCTTATCAGATGATGAGAGTCTTTTCGTTCAACGTGGCGTTACTGTGTCGCCATTGTGGTGATTTCTGTCTGTCATGTGGAGCCCCATGGCTGTCATTCTGCAACAGGCCCAGTAGTATCAATGCAGAATGCATGGTAGTTGTGTTTGAAAGAAACCTCGGAAAGAGGGTTTGGCGGTCTTTGGTGCAAGCAATATGATTTATTCAATAGACTAAGCGTGAAATGCAAGCTCTTCGCCAAACATGCGTGCAATAAGATTAAAAGAACACTGTTGTATCGCCAAGTAAATCAGACCGATGCCATCCTACTTAGCTCCCTAAATCTGAATCCCAGAGTATCTGTGAACCTCCATTTACTGGCCCTTAGCATCTCACGGCTATTTCTCGACAGGCTTCCTTCCGTAGACAACATATCTGGAACCACTGTCAGCTTCATTCGAGAGACCAGCCCAAGCCCAGAATTCACTCACACAGGCCAGTAGGCATGAATAGACTTATCGTTCAAATCCCGCCGTACGCTAGGCAAAAAGTCGTGCACCTCCTCCCTCGTCCATCCAAGCGCTCTCGTAAATGGCGCCATCGTGATCGCTTCGAACCCGTTGTTGATGTTCTCGTTGTTCCAAAACCCCAGCTCTTTGAACTTTTGATGTTTCGGCCACGAATTTGACGGCCACTTAAACAGCCGCAGCTCAACGTCAACGAAGCCGACTTCCTTCATGATAGCAAGCAGTTGTGGGATTTCCTGGAACGAGCGCCCAAAGACTTCAAAGGCTTTGTGCACGTAGCTCATGCATCGAGAAAGCGCGCATTCTGGTTTTAGGCTATCGTCGTCGGAACGAGGATACACTTCGAGCTCTTGCAGCTCAAAATATCCTCCAGGTTTCAAGTTGCTGAAAGGGCGGTTAGGCTTGCACTGCAAATCTCTCAGATATTAGAGAGACGTACGTGAGGACTTTTCGAAGAAACACGCTCCAGTCAGCGATACATGAGTTCATTCCTCGAGTATGGATGTAGTCGAATGGTTGCGAATATGTCCACTCTTCGTCTAGATCGTCGACTTCGAAGTGGACATTTGGAGGCGTGCTTGTGAGGGTGACTTTAGCGTGGAGCTCTTGGTCTCGATAAGGGATATGTAATCTTCATTGCAAGCTTACAATTCTGGAGTTGGCATGGACAGATCGATACCAAGGACCTGTTGACATGAGAATCCCGTGATTTCGCTGCAGCGGGCTGGTAATCATTGAACTTACCTCTGCGTCAGGATGATCTTCGCCAAAGTCTATGGCCCAAATGCCTGTGCCGGTGCCAATGTCGAGGACCCGCTCAACGTTCGAGCTGGAATCATTCGGTGGGGCGAGCCCCAACTTGTTGTCAAAGGTCAAAAGAAAGAGATTGTGTTGGAGATCTGGATTTCAGATCAGCGTCACTCTTAGATCACAATTGACCACACATTCCAGGGGAAGAGAATGGATATATGAGTCTTACCCAATCTGTCTTGTTCTTGCTCGTCGTTAGGAGCAGTATATTCTTTAACGGCGGTTAGAGTTTCTATAAGAGTCTAGCGATAGAACACCACATGGAAAGTACTCACTGCCATCTTTGTACGCATGATACCTCCGCCCGTTTTCTTCTCGAAAGCCAAGGATTGATGCAGCGACACTGAACGCCGATGATCCAACGCCCTAGAAGTAGCGCGTCAGTGAAGGGTCATTCGCACTTGGGCAAATCACACGTTACTGACGCTTCCTATCAACGATGCCTCGTCGTCGGTGAACTGCAAATTGTGTCAGCGACACTTCGACTCGCCCAGTCTCGCCGGAGCCTTGCCTCTTCAGGGATAAGTTCAATCGTGAGGTCGATTGCACTGTCGACTTTCAGCCCACCATGAGCACTCGGCCCCTCGGCCGTCGCCGCATCGCCCGGTACAATAATCATTGGAGCTAAAGAACAAGCAAGGAGGAAGTTGGATGGGGATTCAGTCATAATGATAGATCTCAATTTATCTCTCCTTCGTCGTTTCCCGTGATTGCTGCCCCCTTTTCTGGGCCCGATAGCATTTGCAGCCCCGCGGCACAGAGCCAGATGCAGCTGCGACGTCCATGTCCAGACGAGCAACCAACAGGCGTATCAGAGCCCAGCGCTTAGCGAAATAATGGGGCTTTATTGGCTGCTTTGATGAGTTGCGATTTTGTTTGTTCAGCCCGGGCAAGGGTGGCAGGTTGAACCAACAAAGCCTTGGGAATCGGCGGACGTCCAACAATACGTAGATTGTTAAGGCATTCGTCACAGCCATAACCCTCCAACCGAGATTCGGGGAACTTTTGTTTCCGCTTTAGCGCGTAAAGTCATCTTGGGTGCCTTTATGGCTGGCATGACATCAGTTGCAGTTTAACCGCGGGGAGACGCTCTGTTTTAATAATAGGATCGAAGTTGGCGGTTATTGTCTGGGGAATGACCTTGAAGGGACCCGAAAGGCAACTTATTGTGGTTATTGAGAGACTTGCATAATCGAAATCGTCACTTGAGCCAATCCGAATTGCTAGAAAGAAAGAGAAAAGAAAACACACCACAGATGAGGATAGAGCAAAGCATGTGTGTGTGCATGCATGCACTCGCCTGGGTCGTCATTGCTAGCCGTGTTGTTATTATGCTCATCGCCCGCCAGCCTGTCCATCCACCCTGCACAACAACACTGGCCAAAATTAATCGCAATCTCATGAGAACATCTCATTGGGGGGTTTTATACAAAGCTAGAGGATCAAAAGCCAAGATCAAAAATAGGAAAAAGCAAAAGAAAATGAGGACGGCCCGACTCGAACGGGCAGCCTTCTGGACTGGAATCAGATGCGCTACCATTGCGCCACGCCCTCGATTGTTGAGGTCATCACAAGCGCAATCAAAACAAGTAGCCGTGGGCTGAGCGGGCTCGCTGTAGTAGCCTGCACGTAGCCGTGGTCGACAATGAAGTTGATCGAGAAGGAGCGGTCCAAGTGGTTTATATGGACAAGCCCGGGCCAGTATCTTCCCCACAGAATCCCGCTGGTAGGTCCCACTAAATTGGCCCGGTCGGACAATCGTACCCCCGAACCGCGTCTTCACCTCGGTGAGCCAACGCCATTTCGCGAACCTACCAAGCTCGCATTTTCGCAGATGAAACTAATCTTGAACCTCCAACTCCAGCAACTTCCCGTCGAAATCGCCAACCACCCAAACCACCGACGACGATCACCACCACCAGCGACACCCACACATAATAAGAAAAACAAAAAGCAAAAAAGAAGAAGGAAAAACAAAACACAACATGGACTACCAAAACCGCGCCGGCTCCAAATTCGGCGGCGGCGGCGTGGCCTCCCACTCCGCCACCAACGCCGACCGCCGCGAGCGCCTGCGCAAGCTCGCCCTCGAGACAATCGACCTCGACAAGGACCCCTACTTCTTCAAGAACCACGTCGGCTCCTTCGAGTGCCGCCTCTGCCTCACCGTCCACCAGAACGACGGCTCCTACCTCGCCCACACCCAGGGCAAGAAGCACCAGACCAACCTCGCCCGCCGCGCCGCCCGCGAGCAGAAGGAGGGAAAACAGAACATCGACCCGGCCACCGGTCTCCCCGTCGGCGTCGTCGGCGCCGGCTTCGGCGCCCTCGCCCGCAAGAACGTCATCAAGATCGGCCGCCCGGGATACAAGATCACCAAGGTCCGCGACCCCGTCAGCAGGCAGCAGGGCCTGCTGTTCCAGCTGCAGTACCCCGACATCAGCCCGGACGTCGAGCCCAAGTGGCAGGTCATGAACGCCTTCACGCAGCGCGTCGAGGAGCCCGACAAGAACTTCCAGTACCTGCTCGTCGCGGCCGAGCCGTACGAGACGTGCGCGTTCAAGATCCCCGCGCGCGAGCTCGACAAGCGCGAGGACAAGCAGTTCAGCTTCTGGGACCCCGACGCCAAGGAGTACTGGCTGCAGGTCATGTTCATGTCAGAGAGAGAGGAGAGATATGTTGCGGCGCCGGGTCTGAGCTCGCGCAGGTGAGGGGGACAGGTGGCGGATTGTATGGGTGCTTACGATGGCAACTTGCATCACGAGAGGCTGCCTGTAGGAGAATGGCAGACGTGGCATTACTCATAATGAGATAGGCCCGACGCGTTTGCCCGGCAGACACAGGCTATATCGGGGCATGCACAGGGATTTGGCGTTTGGCGCAGGATATGGAAATGTAAGCTCTTCCACACACGGTGGGATGCGAAAACTGAGCTGACTCAAAAGTTGCACATCACTATACCAGAATAGTTGGCTTTGTCTCAAATGCATTATCTTGACTGCATTCTATCGCCCAACTGCTGACAGTCATCCTCGTTTCTCCTGAATTTCGCTCCTGCATCCATGACATGTAGATCCGGTATCACTAGATCTTTCTCTGTTCTCCACCTCCTTCTCTCCACGTCGTGTCTCTCGTGAGAATGTAAACAACTCTAAACACCTACAGCCCACAGCCTCAAGCCCGAGGCAACAACCCATTCTGCCTCTCCATCTACATGGTGGTTTGTGCGATTTTGTGTCTTGATGCGAGTCAACGCCCTTTATGCAGTGGTTGTTGGAAACAAAAACGAAAAATGCAAGTCTTGGTAACATGAATCTGGTGTATCGGTAGGCAAAAAGCAAGATCGAGTACAAGGTGCGTAGGCCAGTCGCAGCCTCGAGAACGGGTCCCGTGCAAATGCGATTCGAAGAATCATGCCCATGCATGTCACCAATAAGAGGTAGTAGGGCCTCAGCGGAAGTTGTTGTCGAAACGCTTGAAGGTGTAACCGATGAAAGGCAAGCTCATCTCGGGCGACTCCTCGACCACAGGGACGCCGGAACGGGCCTGCTGGATGGCTTGTGCCTTGAGCACGGTTGCGTTGTCGGTCTGGTCAATCTCGTCGGTCGGGAAGTAGGTGGTATCAATGGCGGATGTCAGGCGAGGCTCGAACGGCGCCCTGATGCGGCGCAAGCTATCGAACTCGACTCCACGGAAGAAGGAGTGGGCCTTGATCTCGTGTGCGCCTCCACGGCCGAGGCGGTTCTCAGTGTTGCAAATGAGGCTGGGCATGTTAGCAGGTGCATTTCATGGAAAGATGGCAGGCTTGCTTACCTGCGAATCAAGTTCTCGGCCTCCACACCGAGCTGGATGTCATCGGGGAAGTACAGGGTCTGCCTCCAGTTGACAATCTTTCGGTACGTGTCGTGGCTGTCCTCGGCGCAGAAAGGAGGCCATCCCACCAAACACTCAAACATGATGGTGCCCAGAGACCACCAATCGCAGTCAAACGTGTAGCCGTGGCCAGTGAAGATCTCGGGCGCGATGTAGTCGGGAGTACCGACGGTGGAGTAGGCCATCAGTCTCCTTGAGCGACGCCAGTCGTTGATCTGGGAGCGGTTGCTGACTGTGAGGTTGATCTGGTCGATAGCAACAGAGTTTCTATCCCTTGGTCTGTTAGACCGGCCCTGAAGCAGCTGTTGGTAGTAGTTGTTGTCGTGCAACCGGTTGAAGCCGGTGGACAGACCGAAATCGGTCAGCTTGACGTGGCCGCCGCGGTCGAGCAGAATGTTGTCAGGCTTGATGTCACTGCAACAGGTTAGCAGGTGGCCACAGCTCTGGCGTATGCGACCTACCGATGAATGAAGCCCAACTTATGGACAGCCTCAATGGCAAGGACAATCTCTGCAATGTAAAACCGCGTGATATCCTCGGAAAAGATCTCGTACTTGATGAGCATCGTCATCAAATCGCCTCCGGGCAAGAATTCCATAAGCATGTACAAGAAGTACGAGTCCTGGAACGTCGTGTAGAGCTTCACGACCCACGGACTGTCGGATTCGGCCAGAATATCACGCTCCGAGCGGACGTGGGCCAGTTGGTCCTTCTTGAACATCTCCGTCTTGATCAGGGACTTCATGGCGTAGACCTTGCCGTCGCCCTTCTTCTGAACCAGCTTAACCTCACCGAAGGCACCCTTTCCGATGATCTTGACGGTGTTGTAGTTTTCGGGCTTGTCCTTTGTTCGCAGGAATCGCAGGTATTGTCCCTCCTTGCGGCCGGCAGTGGACCAGATCTGCTCGCGTCTCGATTGACTCTGGTTGGGCTCGGAAAGCTTTGCTTCCATCTCGCTTTGTCTGCACAAGAAACAGTCAGCAAGCTGCGACAGCCAGCACGCGAAACGCTTCCTTACCTCTGGTTTCTCTCACGGGCACGCTTCACACTATCCTTGAAGAAGTCTGACGCCAACTGGGTGCACTTCTTCTGGTTGCTGTTGGCGTTGACGCCATACTTCTCGTAGTTGCGCTCGGGAGCTGGGGCGAAGATCTCGGCAGAAGAGCCCTGCTGGTTCGGGAGAGGAGGAGTCGCATAGTGTCCGTAGCCAGAGGGGGCCTGGCCGGGAGCACCAGCGGTGCGAGGTCGCTGGCCGGGAGAGGGGCCGCGGGAACCATAGGGGGATGCGCGAGCAGCGCCGCCGAGGTTCTGGTGGGAGAATTGGTGAGCGAGGCCGACATTGGGGTCGTTGCCGCCAGGAGTGTTGGATCGCGGCTGGTAGCCGGCGTTGTAGTCGCCGTGGCCCTGGGGAGGGTACTGGCCCTGCTGCTGGTTGTTCATGAAGTAGCCTTGGGGAGCATAGCCGGCCTGGTAGGGCTGCTGCTGCTGCTGTGGGTGCTGCATGCCTTGCTGTTGCTGTTGCTGCTGCTGGGCCTGGCCTGGGAAGACGGGCTGAGGAAAGGTCGAGGGAGTCGTAGGATACTGGCGGTCGCCACCGGGAGCCAGACGATCGTTGTTGTTCCCAATGTTGAGATAGAGGCGGTTATTATTGCTGTCCATGGTTGTCGGTTTCGTCTTGACTCGGGGGGGCTACGCGGTGTGCGGGTAGGGGTTGGTTGGCTGGCAAGCAGACAGCGTGGGCGTGGGCAGGCTGTGTGCGGTGACTAGCAAAGTGGCAGTTTAATTGACGGTGCTATGGGGGCCGGCGAACGGGGTCGTCGAGCTGAGGAGGAGGTCTACAGACTGCGGTGGCAGCGGTGCGGTGCGGTGCGGTGCGGTTGCGGTACGATGCGGTGGCCAGTTGGGTTGGTCGCAGCGACTAAACGGCGGGGAAGACAGCCAAGTTGGACTAGAGGTTGCAGCCGCGGGACGCCCAGGGTCAAGGCGGGAGGTTGGCAGTATTGGGCTGATTGGTCCGAGGCGGCTGTCGACGAGATAGATTGCGGTGGGTGGGTGGATGGGAGGAACCCGCCAGTGCTAATTAAGAGAGAGAGTGAGCCCTAGTCAATGGGTTGGGTTGGGTCATGGACGGCGACCGGTGAGATATCGACAGGCGGAGGGTTGGGTTGGTTTGGGTGTATGTGTGGGAGAGAAGAGGAGGAATATGGATGTACCTTGTGGTGTTTTGGAGTGAATTGGATGGTTGGAGGGGGCAGAAAGACGGGCGGCGGCTGGACGTCGCCTCCTCTGTCTCCTTACTAAAACGTAGCGAAAGGGGGTGGAGGGGGAACTTTTTGGCGATGCGGCACGATGTGGTGGAAGGGGAGGGGAAACGGGGGGGAAGGGGCAGCAGAGGAGAGGCACCAGGCTCTAAGGGGTGATCTTTTTTTTTTTTTTTTTTTTGGGTGGGGGGGGGGGGGGGGGGGTTGCCCGTTTCCGTGGGGCCGGGGCCCCGATGGGGTGGGTGATGG